TTAGACAGGTCTAACAGCATGTTATGTTGTTTTATGTCTCTCGTGTACTGTCTCGTGTTTTTAACATCTGATTCTAGCCATAGCTCTAGCAAACAGTTCTAGAAAGTTTTACCCTGATCTGTGCTCAGAATGCCCCACTGTAGTTAAGCACGTACCAAGAACCTCGCCTTCCTGTTCCAAGGCTTCTCTAATGAAGCAATGTGTGCTGCCATAGTCCCTATAAACACTGTCTTGCAGCCCAGAGGGTTAGAAGAGTTAAAACCCCATGGGAACAGCCTGTAACAGAGAAGAAATGCTCGGACAGATAAATGTTTTTGCTTTTTTTCTTGCTGGCAGAAGAACACTGAAACAAAACTTAGTAAGAATCTTGGGAAGTCTGTATTATGTAACAATTAACAATAATGGACCATGGAGAACACTACCTTATTTGACTTGGGCCTTCTTTCCCCCTTCTCCCTATTCACTCCTCTATCTTTCATTCCTGCTCCCTGGGATCAGATTTCCCAAAAGAATGTATCTATATTTGTCTTAGGCTCCGCTTTCAAGAATAACCTAGATTAAAACAGTAGGTAAGTAGGTTGTTTGTAGATTATATAATGCAGGAATATAATTTTGTTTTACTCTGTATGAATGCTACAAAGAAACACTGATTCAGGTGACAGCATGGTTGGTAATTTCCATCTTTTTCGTTTTTGAATTGTCAACGTTCATTCTGAGCCTTACCACCTAAAGAAAACAAAAGGTGGTACAAATTAGCTTACAAAGAAAATTTCTCTGTGATGATGGTTAAGCATTTGTTTGGTGCAAGGGGGTGCTCAGCAATTTGAAAGGTTATATGACTGTAATATGGAAAAGCTCTCAGACTACTTAAATGAAGTTTTTGTTGCTTTGGAAGAAAACATAACATTTCTTATGCTCTTTGCCAAAAAGGAGGATCTTTGGTTTTTATAATTATTTTTGCTAAAAAATTTGAATATACATTAAAAATGCATGCTTTATAGGAATATAGATGGGGATTTCTTCAGTCATGAAGAAATGCGGAAATGCCCTAGAAAATATAAGGAGTTACATTAGGAATAAATTAAGGTAGCTTTAGGCTAACCTTGACAATTATAATTATTTACTCGCTTGAGGGTCTGTCCAAGAGAACAAAATTAATTAAAATCTCTCCCTATAGAGCCTATATTCTAGTGGAACACAAAGTGAAACAGTAAGCAAATTGCATAATATAAATTCACTGTATTTAAAGTATGGACTATAGATTAAAAAATAAACTGAGACTAGTGTTTTAGGATGAATTATATTTTGTCCAAAAATTCCTCATGTTGAAGTCCTAACCCCCCAGTTCCCCATAATGTAAGCACATTTGGAGATAAGGTGGCTGCATTAAAATGAGCCCCTCAAGGTGGCTTATAATCTAAAGCAGCTAGCACCAGTATACTTACAGGAGATATCTGGACAAAGAGACATCAGGGGAAAGGAAAGAAGGGAATGGAATTAATATGAGAAAAATAAAAAGTAGATAGGGAGGGGTGGAGGGATTGAAAGGATGGAAAGGGAATGGGGAAAAATAGGAATCAAGATGGATTATGTAAAGGTGCACATTTCCAATGATAAATGTCATTTTATTGTATAATTTAAATGTACCAATAAAATTAATAATAAAAAAAAAGCGACATCGGGAGTGCCCAAGCACAGAGGAGAAACCATAGGAAGACACAGCCAGAGGTGGCAACTATAAACCTAGGGCAAAAGTCTGAGAAGAAACCAAACCATCTGAAACTTTGATCTTAGATTTTTTTAGCCTCCACAACTAAGAAAAGAAATTTATGCTATTTAAGCCATTATGTTAGTGTATTAATTATGGTAACCTGGCAAACTACTACTTAAAGGGAGTGTGCAAGCTTTTTGCTTTATCTACAGGTGTCACTGAGAAAATGACATTTGAATGAAGACCTGAGGACAAGAAAAGAATCAGCCATAGGATATTTGTAGTAAGAACACTCTGGAAGAAGGAAAAGCAATCCCTAAAGCCTTGAGTTGGAGAGGCCAGTGTGGTTTGCTAAACAGGAGCATGAGAAGAGGGGTTTAGAAAGGCCCTGCATAAGGAAGTGGTGGTAGTCATGTGGGACCACATTAAACACCCAGGGAAGTTTTGAAAAATGGTGAGGACATTTTGACATTATCAAGATTGAAGTGGTGCTACTGGCCATTTTTAGTGATAGACGGTATTCATACTACAAGCATAACTATGTTCAGGACAGTTCCATCTGACAAGATATTTTCTGTAGATTGTGTGACTTCAAAATGTCCTATGGCTTATTCACATAGAGGTAAAACTTTGTAATTATTTATGATGACTTCAATATTCCATGTATAACAAACTAGGTGATTAGTATCAATTCTCCATTGAAAATAAGGAAAGATTCTGGATAAAATATATTTGGTCATATTGAAAAGATTTGCTAATATTGTTGTGGTTCATATTCTCTTTCTCTTTGCCTTCTGGAAGTCTACCTTCATGTGTATAAACCTGTCTGATAATACTTCACAAGTTATTGATGCTACTATTTTAAAAAATTATTTCTCTGTATACTTCAACTTTAGATGATTTGTACTGGATCTGTCTTCAAGTTTACTGGTTCTCTCTTCTATGTGTACAATTTACTGATAATCTCATCAAATGGTTTAGGTTATTATATTTTTTCACCTCTAGGATTTCCATTTCCTTTTCTAAAGTATTATTTGTATTTCTCTTAAAATTATCTATATCTTCATTTATTATATCTACTCTTGGCAAAATCCTCACTACATTTGTCAAGGTTATTTTATATTCTTTACCTGCTAATACCAACATCTTCAGGTCAGTTCCTTTTGATTTATGACAAATGGATACTGTCATAAAAGTGATACTGTAGAGCAGTGAGAAAGGATTACTTTTCAAAGAAAAGTTTAGGGCAACTGGTTAGTTAAATTAAAAAGAAAACCTTTTTCACATCATACTGAAAAAACCATCTCTTAAGTGGTTAGCAGATTAGAAACATTCAGAGGAAAACAAGTTTCCAAATGCTAACCGGAGAATGTTCTGGTGACCTTAGCAGTAAGCAACAATTTCTTACAGGTGAGCAAAAGCATAAACCATTGAAAAAGTTTTAAAATTTACATTTATCAAAATGTAGCAATGAGATAGTTAAAATGCAAACCACGGATTAGGGAAAGGTGTTTGTAGTACTCATTTAAAATATATAAATCCAGTACAAAATGACAAACAACGTAATAGAAATACCTAAAAGGCCCATTACTAAAGATGCTATCTTAAGGGAAAATTACCTTAAGAAAGATGCTCTTTATTAACAGTCATCATGGACCATAAAACCACTGAATGCTGGTGAAGACATGGAGCAGTGGGAACTCATGACAAAAGCCAGTGGCACTGTAAATCTGTAAGAATACCTGGTACTATAAACACAACTGATCCATAAACATACTCTGTACCTGAAACATTCCTTTCAGGTATCAATGTCAAAAGAAATATGTATAGATGAAAATAATGTGAATGTTCAATATCAGTATGAGGAACCAAGCACAAAAGACCTCCCAATTGTATGATTCAATCTTTGTGAAATACTCCAAAGAGTTCTTAATAGAAAAAAAGATAAGTGGTTGCTTGGGACTGAAAAAAATAGGAAGGTGGTATTGGATGTGAAAGTTTAAGGGGATGGAGTTGCTTTTTAAGTGAAGAAAATGTTCTAAATTTGACTGTAGTAATGGCTACACATGTCTGTAAATATACTAACAAAACTGAATTGTATAGATTAAATGGATGAATTGTATGGTATGTAAGTCATATCCCAACACTATAATTAAGAAAAACAGCAGTATAAAGGATAAACTGCATGTGTTCAATGCCACACAGAAAAGAAAAATAAAAACATGCATGAACTCAAAAAATGTGGTGTGAAAGAAATCAAATACTATAGAACAGTTACTGAGTAATTCATTGGTATTTAAGGAAAGACAAAACTCACCTATATATCTAAGGATAAAATTGTGGCTATATTTCAGAAGTTGTTTCTACCTGGGTAGGGAGATGAAGGATTCCTATAAAACTTTATTTCTTTATTTAAATTGTGGCTGCAAGTCTGTGTTAGTCCAAAAGCTTACTGAACTATATTTATAATGTGTGTATTTTCCTCTACGCTATACTTCAACAAAAGTTTCAAGGAGTATTTTTAAAAAATGAAGTGGTTTAGTAAGTTCTATCATTATGCACTGAAAAAACAGGACTCCAAACAAACAGTTATTGTATGTGGGTTGGGATTATGGAGAATTCCTATTTTCTTCTATATACTTTTCAGTATTTTCCAAATTACAACAGTGAACATGTATTCATTTATCATTAGAAAACAAGTCATCAAAATACAATAGTCTGAGATAACTTGTACTACTTTTACTCAAATTCATTCAATTTAGAGACTGGCTTTTGTACCTAAATGGGAAGCAACTGTCATTTTAGAGTACAGGAGGTGAGGTCTGGGCGCCGTTTTGGACGTTTAGGGGTGGCCTGAACGACGACCAGGACTCGCTACGGCCACCAGTCCCGGTGTGGTGGTGGTGGGGGGAGGTGCAAATGTCCAAGAGAGGAAGAAGCCGGAGCACACCTGGGGGCGTGAGGGTCGTGGCACGCACCGAAGCTGGGTCCTGCTCCAGGGACAGCCTGACAAGCCCGAGGCGCTCACCAGGGCTCTCGTCCCACGCTGGGCAGAGAGAACACCGGCCTCAGGCACCATCATCCTCACGCGTCCGCATGGCCGCAGCTGAGAGTGTTCTTTTCTATTTTACAAGGTTGCAGGCACCAACAGAGACGAATATGTGACGGGGCAGCTCCTGGCCTGCAAATCCTAAACTAACTGCTATCTGGCTCTGCACAGAAAAAAGTTTGCCAACTCTTTAATTACAGACTCTGCACAGAAAATCCTTGAAGTATTTAAACATTTTACCTGAGTCTGCGCTTCCTGGGAAGGAGCCTGTGCGGAACAAGTGTGCCGGGCGACACCTGTCCCACGTAAGGGAGAACTGACCGGGCTCCTCGCGCACAGAAGTCAGAATCCACTCAGGAGCGAGGAGTCCAGTTTCACCTCAGGAATCCAGCCTGGAAGCAGGGTCAGCCAGGCTCCTCCGGGCCAGGGATCCAGAGCGATAAAGATGCTCCAAAACCCTCGAGGACCGCGAAAGAGCGGGCGGCTCCGGTCTTCCAAATGACAAAGCATCGCTACCATTCCCGAGAAGCGAGCAGAGTTCCTCCGCTTTTCCGCCCGCAGCTGCGCGCCTCACACTGGCTTGCGCTTGGGTCCGGAATTTTGCCAGGAGATGGGCGTGGGTGCGGCCCGCAGCTCTGCGCACGCGCCTGAGCCACCTACGGACCCCTCCTTAGCGAGGCTCCACCCACCGCTCGGGCTCCTCCCATCGCGCAGGCTCCACCCTCGGCGCCAAGGGGGAAGAGCTGCAGGCTCCCTGCCTGAGGGCCCAAGATTCCGTGAGTTAGTTCTGAACGTTCTCATCTTTTACCATTAAATATTTAAGGAAATATTGCTGATATCTGACCTAGGCAAAAGACAATTTAAAAAGATTAAACCTCGTATATCTCACATTAATGTTTCTCAACCACCAGGCTATTGACATTTTGGACAGAACAGTTTGGGCTGCGTGTGCAGGCATGTGCTGTGCTTAAAAATTGCTTAAAAAAAAAAAAAAGTTGGGTAGCATCCCTGGCCTCTCTCGGTTAGATGCCAATAGGATTTCCTCCTCTAATTCTGACTGCCAAAAATGTAGCCACGCACTGCCAAGCAGATTTGTGGAGGGGGGCAGAGTTGCCCCTACTGTCTCCTGCCCGATAGAATCAAGATCAGGAAGGAAACATTGCTCCATTAATGTAACCCAATATAGAGTTCGTACATTTTAATTTTCTTGATTGTTCCCAAAATATCTGTTTCCCCCCCCAAAAAATGTAGACGCACTGCCAAGCAGATTTGTGGAGGGGGGCAGAGTTGCCCCTACTGTCTCCTGCCCGATAGAATCAAGATCAGGAAGGAAACATTGCTCCATTAATGTAACCCAATATAGAGTTCGTACATTTTAATTTTCTCTATTGTTCCCAAAATATCTGTTTCCCCCCCTTGGTAAAATATAAATCCCCAGCTTTTTTTGTTTGTTGTTTTTCCTGGAATTGATATTTTTTAAAAAGTTTAGACTGTTCTGTCATATCCAGTTTTACCTATTTTCAAATGACTACTTACTTGTTCTAACAGCATTTCATTTTAAAAAGCCTCCCCCACCCCCATGACTTGAGACATTACTTTTATCATACATTTCCACATTGTACTTGGGTCAGTATTTTATATTCTTCCCATTGATTATTCTGCACATTTATAAAATTTATACTGTTTTAATTATAGGGATTATAGTGATTTCAAAAATCTCATAAGTTTAGGCCTGCTTCTTCACTAATATTGTTGCTTCTGTTTTGTATTCTTGCTTATTTATTTTCTACTGCTTAAACTAGGAGTCTAACTCCATAAAATAGTTTTAAAAAACTAGCATCAGTTTATGAGGTTGGACTTTTCCTGTTGAAGAGCAACGTTTGTTTTTCCTTTCATTAGAGTAGTCCCAGTTTTGTGTCTTTCAGAAAAGCATTAACGTTTTCTCATATAGGTTTTTCACATTTCTTGTAAAATTTACTCCCAGGACATTTCTATTTTATATTTGTAGTATCAGTGGGGTCATTTCTTCTATTTTTCCCTATAATTGTTTATTGCCTAAAAAAAGAACATATTGATTTTTACATGTAGTTTTATATCTTGTTACTATGTTTAATTTATTGATTCTAGTTTTCCACTGATTCTATTTGCATCTTTATTTATATTTTTATGTAATTGCAGTCAGTACTCATTTTGAAGCTCAAATTGCTTGTCATTCACCATGTTTAACTCTTCTGCTTATTTGACACAACCTCAAATGTCTTGATCGGGTCATTGCTTTCTGACGTGCTCGACTCTCAGTCTCATGGCTTTCAGTGAAAGTGATATTTGGAGACTGCAATATATGCACTTACAGATGTTCATGGCTAAATGATTTGTCATTACTTCTCAGCCTTTTCAATACAAGATCTAGAAAATACATGCAT